TATCACTCACTTTAGTGCCAAAACGAGCTCATTCAACAATATTTCTGTAGCTTCGTTTACATGGACACCTTTTGTTTCAATTGGAATGAAATCATTCTGATTGATGAATCCGAACGTAGTGTTTACATGAACGCTACATAAAGTGATGGGGTTGATGTGCGCGTTTATGTCAGTCACAAGCTTCAATATCGGCTTTGATCTTTTGACATGCGCACACTGCACGAAAATGCAGTTTTCTGCTGGTTGCACATACTATTCCATTGCCATTGCTTCTTTTCTTTGTTTCAAAGAGAAGACTTAATATTTATCTACTTTGGGTCCTAACTAGGAGAAGACGAGCAAGTGAAGCTTTGTGCCGTGCTCAAGCAGTAAAACCGCCCATTCTAGTGGCCAAAACAAGCCTTCTGTGGATGAGAGTATAAAGTGAGGACTGATGGGACATTGTTCTGCTCCACTTCACAGACGATGAGTGGAAGGAGAATTTTCAAATAATGTGACAATCATTTATGACAAAACAACACTACAAAAACAACAGCTCGTTCCATGCGTCATGCATCATTACGCCATTTCTATGTCATTGCACATGCGCCGTTTCAGTTTTCAATCCGATCAAGTGTTCACATGTCCTCTTGATTGGATAAGAATAGGTCTACACCATCCCTTCTAATCTGATCAAAATTTCATGTGGATCGTGCTCAGTTAGATCGATTAATGAAGGCTTTTCAGTCCGATTGAGCCATCAATCCAATTACTAACGGATTATTTGGTTGCATGTGAATGTAGCTAGTGTAGAAAACCAACATGTTCTCATCATTTTGTCATTGCAGCTGTTCAACAGGCGAGGGCTTTCTGAGCGCTCAGGGCATTGATTACTCAACCTGGGGTTTGTGGCAAAATCATTTGGCTCTGGGAATCATGACCTTCATCTTCCTCATCATCGCTTACCTCAAGCTGCGCTTCATCAAGAAATTCTCCTAAACACAAGCTTGTGGTCTTCCTCACACACTCCGACAACATCCACCACATCCCACAGATATTACACGCACTGTTTCCCACTCAAACACCATCGTATGCTGAAGGAAATCATACAAACACATCCAGTTATGCTTCAGACACAAATCATGTGAAGCATTGACATTGTTCAGGTTTATTGTTCTAAACTTTTCACACTAAAGATTTGTATCAGAAATCTAGTTTTTTATTATGTTCAAAATATTTTACTTTTTTTCTCAACGGATTATTCAGTAACAGTACAGTAAGTAAATATGGCAATATGGCGTTACTCCAGTTTGACACCTTTTAGTTGTGTTTGTTTGCTGTACATGTTTTTTGTAAGTTTCATTTATATATTTTGTTAATATAAAATACTTTTGTAATTTTTTAGCACAGCAATGTTTAATAAAAACAAATGCTCTGATTATTTTAAGCAAAACTGTTTTTCGTTTAATTTTCCAGTTCCTATGATTCTCATTATCATAAACACACCTGCACAGTTAAACCAAATAAAAAAATTAAATATCAAAATATAAAATATATTACAATAATATTTCTATTATTTATATGTATTTTATAAATTGGATTGTTTGTCTTGTTATTTTTATTGCTATTAATTACTTCATACTATGTGTCTTATGTTGACTTGATGACGAAGGAGTTTACAGCGTGAGACCGATGCTCCTCCACCGAGTGTGTTGAGTTTACAGCGTGAGACCGATGCATCTCCACCGAGTGTGTTGAGTTTACAGAGTGAGACCGATGCTCCTCCACCGAGTGTGTTGAGTTTACAGAGTGAGACCGATGCTCCTCCACCGAGTGTGTTGAGTTTACAGAGTGAGACCGATGCTCCTCCACCGAGTGTGTTGAGTTTACAGAGTGAGACCGATGCTCCTCCACCGAGTGTGTTGAGTTTACAGCGTAAGACCGGTGCTCCTCCACCGAGTGTGTTGAGTTTACAGCGTAAGACCGGTGCTCCTCCACCGAGTGTGTTGAGTTTACAGCGTAAGACCGGTGCTCCTCCACCGAGTGTGTTGAGTTTACAGCGTGAGACCGATGCATCTCCACCGAGTGTGTTGAGTTTACAGCGT